AAAACTTAACTGACATGTTTTGCCATCTGAAACAAAGGTATGGCTTTTATTTTGGCAGACAAATCCTCAAGAGTGCTGCTATTGAACCTTACAAAATGTTTCCCTGAAAAAAAAAAAAAAAAAAAAAAAAAATATACACTTTCCCAAGCCATGAAAATGTTAAAAATTAAAAGAAAATGGTTAAAATCATAACCTTCTATTATTCAAAATGTATAATACATTAATTGATTTAAAAGTAAAATAGTACAGTACTAAAAAAAAAAAAAAATTCAACATTTACTCATGTGTGTTTATTAGACATTGGATTACATCACTTAACATCAGGTAACAATTTACCTTAACTTTTCAGTTTTCATAATTTACCTTTCAGTTAATATAATGTAATTTTATGAATGTTCTTAAATTTAAAAATGTTGAAAACTAACATTTTTACTTTTGTTCCTAAATACTTGTTGCAAAATAAAACCCTTACATTTATGGATCTATCTTTTTGATATTTTATATTAAAAAAACCTACTTGGATTATCCTTTCTACTTCAGGATTTGATGTTATTATCTCTCTCTATCTATCTATCTATCTATCTATCTATCTATATATATATATATATATATATATATAAGTATAATAACAGCTGGCCACTTGTATTTGAAACCACCTTTCTACTAGGATGGCTAGCCAATTCCTATTGCAGACTGTCGCTCAGGAACATTTATATTTTGTTCAATACCCACAGTCAGCCTGTGGCTTATACTGCAACTATGCTGAGCAGACCTTAGTTACAGTTTCTGGAAGAGAGTGTGTTATCTAGCATAATCGTCAATTTGAACAATGCCAGCACACTGAAACCCTCAGTCATGATGACTTATGACTTTGAGCTAGCACAGCTATCAATGAATCCCAAGTGTTCCTTCTACCTAGTTTAACTCACAAAGCTTGGGTCAACCCATGGCATGGTTTTCAAGCACTCTCCAAAGGTGCTGCAAGCTGGGATTGTCCCCTTCCAGACCGATAATGTCAAGAAGACTTCTTCCTGGCAAATAAACCCTGGTTAGATTTGAATCCAGGTCTCATGGTCAGAAAACAACTTGTTGTAACCACTTGGCCATGTGCACACACACACACATATCTCTCTCTCTCTCTCTCTCTCTCTCTCTCTCTCTATATATATATATATATATATATATATATATATATAATAGAGAGAGAGAGAGACACACACACACACACACGTTACATTAAAAACCACTGAAAAAGCTGCTATATTTAAGTTTTTTATTAAATTTTTCTTGTGTCCTTTTTTGAACATAAGAACACAAGAAAAAAAAAAAGAAGCTTAACCACAGTACCTTGTCAGTCATTTTTAATCAAACTTGTTTGACAGAGGGATTACTGCCCTAATACATAATTTGCATCTATATCAGTGGCAACTCTAGGTCATGAATGTTTGTCAGGCTCATTACAATCTTTAATAAATATATTGTTTGTACAACTTAGATGCTAAAATGATTGCTTTACTCTAACTAAAATATATAATTTTAAAAAATCTCTTTAAGTTCCTTACACTTTAAGTTCAGTGAAGCTTTGAATAAAAAAATAAAAGTTGCAATGCAATGGTGAAGTTAAAACTCTCAGAGAAGCAGAAAATTGCATGCGTATACATTAACAAAAAACTGGTCAAAATAAAAATTCTCAAGAAAAATCTTAAAATGATTGGTTATAATCTTTTATTATTGATTGAAGCATCGCATTAGATAGATAGTATTTTAACAACTGATAATACTCTATAATCTCTCATGTTTCCACATTCACTATTTACTTAAAACATAATTTCACTCATTTTGGTAAAGAAATGAAAGCAGAAGTGGAATGCACAAAGCAGTTATGTTTTTTTTTTTTTAAAAAAATGTGTATCTATCTCAAGTGTGTTTGTATATATGTCTATGTGTTAGTGTGTTATGTATCTCTCTGAATTTTTAGTTTAATTTATTGTATATTTATGATCAGTACTGCTGACTGATATCATATTTCCTCAGCACTACCCCAGTCACACTCCTAACCCCAAACCTTCAGTTGACAAGTTAAGGCTGCCACTTTCTTTGTTGGGCTAAATTTAATTTTCTCTTTTTTTTAATTGATACATTCTGCTAAAAAACCTTATACCGTACAAAATAAATTATTTAAAATAGATATTTGAAAACAATAAATTGCAAAAAATAAAAAGTGTTCTTTGAAAAACAGGGCATACAAGTCATTAGAGATTTTATAAAGATTATTTATAAAATTAAAACAAAAAATATATTGCCTCTTAAGGATGTCTCCAGCTTGATAGGTTTTAGATCTAAAAAAAAGCCTGACTAACCACTTAATTTCATTCTTTTTTTTTTTTTTTTTAATTTCTTTTTTTCTTTATTATTTCTTCTTTATTATGAACAATATCAATGAAATGTATTTTGGTCAATATTTTGAGAGACAGATTTAAAACAATTCATTCTGGACTCAACTGAAGTCAAAAATGAAAATGATGCGCTATGAAACATTTTGGTTGCTTTGGAATAGATATACTTGAATGTTGGCTTGCCCGAGCTGAGCCCAACAAGCTCAACCCTCAGAGCGCGCACACACACACACACACACGCATTTTGTGGGTACTCATATTTGAGTTAATTATGCCTACCTGCCTCTACCTATTTAAGAGACTTAATGAAAAAATATGCTCTCCAGCTGGGTTCAAATCTGCATCCCCCTTTGTAGGAGAAACCACCATCTGATCCAACTTGCTTTAGACCAGCCTCAGCATACTAGCTCTGCAAGGTTCAATTAACCTTTTAATGAACACATATCCTCTTGTTCAGATTTTCTCAAAAGCCTATTTTTTTTTAATATCCAAAATATAAACAATGTAATTTCTCAGCAATCTATAGATTTTTTTTTATTTGTATTTCTGCTACTCCAATTAAATTTAATTACTCCAGTTAAAATAATTAGTAGAACATATTATATTACATGGGCAGGAGGAAGTGAGATGCTTGTCACTTAGTGACCCAAGCAATTGTCAGTTTACCAAGAATCTTATTCCTATACTGAAATGCTGAGAATCAAAACTTTCTGACAGAATACTTGTAAAATATTATCTATTTTTGCTTTGAACATTAGATTTGATAAACTGTAAAATTGCCAATTATGCAGAAGCAACTGTTTTAATGGAAAGAGCTTGCTATTGCTGCTGTAGCCTTTCTTTCTTTTTTTTGTTCCATTTATTTTATTAACTGATATTTATTGTATGAAAATGTTTGTATCTATTTGAAAAGAGAATAGATTCCTGGAGATAATCAATCAAATGGAATGGGTAGAGAAAATGTCAGAGTGAACTTTGTTCAAGAATAATCAATAAATGTAGTAAATCATTAGCAAATGCTTTCTGTCATGATAGTCACCACAGACTAGTGAGTTGGCGTTTGTGTTTGTTTGTGCCAGCCATATATTGGAATAAAAGTGATTTTGCTTCTTTAGCAATAGTGCTCTCTTCACTGGACAGATCTTATATTTTATGTATATTGCTGGCACACACATCATGCCATCCTGTTCCACACACATTAATTTACAACCATCACAAACTACAATTGAAATCTTCACATTTTCATAATAATCTTATTCCTTTTTTCATCTGAGCTTGATTCCAATGAGGTCTGAACCCAATTCCAACAAAATCCAAGGCAGGCTCTGATCTCAAAGTCGGATTCCAATGAGATTTGAGATTTTCTTTTTCTACACTCTCAGATTTTATTTTACTGGTCACTGTTTTCACAATTAAATTTATATTAACCAACCAATGTTGGTAAAATATATGTGCAATATATTGTTAGTTTCGCCTTATAATATCGATATTATAAAAAATATCAACTTGTTTATAAAGTATTGAATTTTATGATGCAAACAAAACTAATAAATTTTTATCTATAAACAAATGTAAAAGATATAGACCATAAAACATTTGATTAGCACAGAGTATCTCATAAGCAAGAGTAAATTATTATTTTATTTATGTTAATGATTTTGACATTCTACATAACCTTCATTCATTCATTGTTAAATTTTCTACTGTTTCAACCTCAGAAGTAAACAATTTATAAGTTTTACCTTTAATAATGGTTACCAAGTAAAAAGAGAATCTGTAAAAGAAAAAAAAATTGTGTGCTGAGGTTAAGATCTGCAGTAAGAATAAATTGTCTTTTCAAAATCACCTTTATTAGAGTATATCGTTATAATTACCTTATTTTATTATTTGTTGTTAATCTCTTATTGCAACTAAACAAAAAACAAACTATACCATAGATATTTGTATATGGAGAAAGCATTTTATATAATATATATATATATATATATATATATATATATATGGTTTGGTACTGTGTGTGGTTTCAATTATTTATAGGTTGTCTTGAACCTTTTTCCCTACAGATAAGGGAGGAATGACTAATTTTATGAATTTGAATGTTCACAGCACATCTTTGGAGAGTGAGTGATAACAAGTCTTCTCAACTCACCAGCACTTTCCTCAGTATCCTTATAGGCCCAAACTTTGCCATAGTTTAGATTATCTCAATCTTTCCTTGTCTAATTCATCTGATCTTAGCTATAGGTACATCAATTAGTATTGGTTTAATCATGATTTCCATATACCACAGGTTTGTCAGTGTTCTGGTACCTTATAATTTTTCTTTTTTTTTTTTTCTTTTTCTTTGCACTATGGTCTGCTAGTACCTTCTGACAAATTCTCTTTTCTTTAACAATATCCATAGATGGACGTTTTGGTTGCAAAGCATAGTCAGTTTTGATTTTAATGTCACAAGTATTTTATTTTTACTTTCTTATAGAATAGATTGTCCTAATGTTTGGAGCAGGTGATTATTGTTTATGAATAAATAATGATGAATATTTCAAATCATCAGCGTATTCTTCAGTATCCACACAGACCTGATCATAGCCATGGCCTAGCTAGCCTCAATTCTTCCTTGTACTTTTTACTTTTCTCTTCCTTCTTCCTCCTACTTATTCTTTTCTCTTTCTCCCCCTTCCTTTCCCCCTCTTTCTCTCCCTTCATTTCACCCTTCCTTCCTCCCCTCTTTCCTCCCCTCTTTCTCCCCCTTCCTTCCCCCCTCTTACTCCCTTTCTTTCCCCCTCTTTCTCCCCTTTCTTTTCTCCTCTTTCTCCCCTTTCTTTCCTCCTCTTTCTCCCCCTTTCTTTCCTCCTCTTTCTTTCCCCCCTCTTTCTCCCCTTTCTTTCCCCCTCTTTTCCCCCTCTTTCTCCCCCCTTTCTTTCCCCCTCTTTCTCCACTTCCCCTCTTTCTCCCCTTCCTTCCCCTCTTTCTCCCTTCCTTTCCCCCTCTTTCTCCCCCTTCCTTTCCCCTCTTTCTCCACTCTTTCTCCTCCTCCTCATTTCACAATCATCATGGATGTGCTCAGATATTGTGCTGAAATTGTGTGAATTCCTTTAACCATTATTTTATCTTTTAAAAAATATTTTTTTATCATTTAAAAATATTTTTTTTTATACATAACCTTTTTAGATGCTGCACATTAGAGCAAAGTTAATCTGAAGTAGAATTTTATCATTTTTATGTATAAATCCCGAGCTTAGGTTTTGAACCATGGCTGGTAGTTTGTTAATGAAAATAATTTAAGTCTCACTCATGTTCAATGTAGAAATCTATTAGATATAAATGACAGTTTTTCCTAATGTTTTTCAATAATTACAAGGAAGCTCTTATCAAAATGAGCTAACAGTAAAAACACACTTTCTTTTTTGAGTTTCCCATTTTGCAAATAAAAACATTCTTTGTTATTGTGAATTCAATATGAATGGAAATCTCTTGCATTTGAGTGTAACCATGGAACCTCAAAATTAAATTGGTTAAATAAACAGCCTTTCTAGAAAATCGGTAACACCCAAAGAATAAAGGAAAAGTGACAGACAGGAATCAGATTGGCATTGTTATGTTAAATATTGTAGCAAGGTGTAACATTAATATTACTGACTGTATTTTCGTAATTCTTTATACAAATTGGTATTGAAATGGTCTTGGTTTGTGTTTGATTGTGCTGTTGAACAGCAACTGCTTATTGGTACCCAGCCTACTGAGTCAATCTGCTATCAGGCATACTGCTTGCTAACTACTAGTGTTCAATTCTTATGAGAGGATTTGTAATGTCATGTTGGAATGGTTCTGTGATATTCATAACTGGCTTCATGAAATTATGCATAAAACTTTTTTTTGGTGAATATTCTTAACCCTTTGAGCCTTGCATTCCTGAACAATTTTAACTTTTCTGCCTCCTGAGCTCCTGAATCAAAATTTGCAAATAATTGGTATGTAATGTTTCACGGTAGATATAAAAATAGTTACAAGTATTTACCCACCATTCAACTGGTAGATGGGCTTAAGTCATTTTTCTCTATTATTTCTCTAAAATTGTGGTCAGGGTTCAAAGGTTTAAAGTTGAACACAGGTTTTTGAGGAGCATGCATGTTTCAAGGTGAGTCAAATGTTTGTCCAAGATGATTTATTTTTAGTGCAACCACAGGTAAAATACAAGATGTGTGGAGGGGGAAAAATTGTGAACTCCTTCACACTGAATATTAGCTTTTCTCAGATTATTTATGGAGTATGTCATGAGATCCTATTCCAGGAAATTTTCAATTTCACATTCTAACATTTTTGTAAAATCTCTCATATATAATCATGACTTTGCTTCATAAATATTTGATTTAGTAAAGCTTTTCTTGTTGATTGCTTAGGATCAGCTGAGGTGATCAGTGAGTTCAAAATGAGTTTTACTTCAGGTGAAAGTTTGACAACTTATTGTAGACCTCTGCTTGATTCAGAAAGGGAGATTACTAGGTCACTCTTCTGACTCCATGTCATTGCCCCAGTTGCCTCTGATGCTTATTGAATTCAAAAGCACTTAAGGTCCTTTTCAAGGGGTTCTAACATCTCTTCAGTGGGACCTTGGTTCAGCTCAGCCAATAAGTAATCTTTGAAATCTGATTATAATAGGTATTAAATGATATCTTTACTATTTTGAAATACCTCAATTATAACGATACAAGCTATATGTTTGTACTGTTTTAAATGAGTATGTTGCACTATCAAAGTCTAATTCAACTTAAGTAGTTATCAAATTGGTCCTCTTAAAGATGAACATTTCTACAAAGCCTCATGACTTAGTTTAGCATAGGTAATAATGGATATCGGTTTGGTATGGGAAATCTGAGCGCCGAGTTTGAATTCCAGTCAAGTTCATTACATTCACTTATGTGCAAATACTCTTGGGGAAGGTATGACTCCATCTCTTCTCTCCCCAGCTATGGGTTGAATAGTAGGACACATTAAATCTTATATCCTTAGTTGGCAGCCAGTCTACTATGGAAAGAAATGGAAACCTGCTGCAGAATAATCTCCTGCCTAGTCAGTCATCAAACGAGACATGATTGCCCAAATGTGTATCATGTATGGCCTTAACTGACTGACTGAATAAGTCACTAGAAATATTTGTGATGCTGTAAAGCAAAAGATTCTTTTAAACAAAAGAAACTGTCAAATAATTTTTGACAGTTTTTAGAAAAGGTGATTGCAAGTTGTCCTGAATTTATCAATAATCAGACATCTTCTGCTTAGCAGTCTGTCCATAGATTATAACTTCTCTTAACAGAAAACAGTTTCCCTTTGTTAATTTTTAACCTTTGGTAACCTATGTGCTATAGAGGAAGGTCATAAGATCAAGTGTGCTGATTTTCTTTCACCTTCAATCAGCCTCTTGTAAAGGCAAACAGTGATAGAGAATGGATGAAGAGAACATGTTTTGGTGCAACTAGAAACTTCTAGTACTGGATCTGTACATTGGGGGTGAATTTTAGTCATCAATACCATCATAAAGAAAGTGATCAGCAAAGAAGAAATTAAATTCTTGGATACAAGATAAAGCTGACGGTATTATATGGTAGCCTATTCAATTCATACATAAAAATGGTTTAACTCTGTGGTTGATTTTACACATGATTTGTAGTTTTATTGTCTATCTTAACATTTTGAGTGGAGTGCATTCTTCTCAGTCTGTGAAAGTTTAGTTTGGCATAGACCATCTCCAGATCCATGGGGGGAGAGGAATGGATCATTACCCTACTGTGCTAACCCAATCCATATTGGTAGGGGAAGATGTGACACACTTGGACAATCTCTTTTCAATTCATGATCACCCAATGGTATTTAAATATAACTAACCTGACTGAAATTTGAACTCTACTCTGATTTCTTATCTGGACCTGTTATCCATTACCCCACCCACAAATCCAATCTTACAGTATTTGGTATTCTCAAGCAATCACCCATTTGGGAACTAAATATGCTTGACTTTGCTTAACTCTGATGATCAGATAAGAACCTGTGTGTCAACATGATAACACCATAAGTGAAGTGCATTATTTTTTTTTTGTTTATTTCTGTAATATCTTTTAGGATTCAGACTCTGTTGATATTTCTTAACCAAATATGTTTCTCTAGATAGAAAGTGAACTCAATTTGTTACATTTATTCAGGTGTGTGCGTGTGTGTATATAACATGGCTGGACGCAGTCTACAAGGACTAATTATAACATTCTGGTGATTCTTTTTCAATTGTTATCTATCTATTCAACACTTGTGTAAAATTAACTTTATATTCATTTTGTATCATTTTATTTTGTATTTGTCTTTCTTTCCAGCACTAAAAATACTATTTAAAATATTTTTTAATCATTATTAGGAAATATACTTTAAATTGAATGTGCACATTAGTAATGCTGTTTGCTTGATCAAAATACATTTTCATTTTAGCGTCCCTTATTACCATTCACCACTCAAACCACATGTTTGACTTTCAGTTGCCACTGTACTTGATTTTTGCTCTGTTACTTCTTTTCACCTCGCTGATATTTTAAGAAGTTAATTAAATTTAAAAGAGGAACAACAGGTGTTCTTCACAGTTTGGAGCCTGTTTTTTGTTTGATTTTTTTTTTTCCTTCCTTTTAAATTGTATTTTAAAGATTTTTTTTTTATTAAAATCAACTGTTAGGAAGGAAGTGCGTTTTGCAATCTGAGCAAAAGGGATGCAAGACTTAGTTATTTTAGAAGCATGTGTTTTCTTAACATTATTTGTATAATGTGGTGTAAATGCCTTTTAGAATAGGGCCTTCTTAAATAAGCCTAAAATGAAGGGTATTGATTTGTTAGTTATATTCTGTGTGAAAATATCACTGAATTTGTTGAAAGTCATTTTTCTTTTCCTTATTTTTATTTGAATCTTTGTCTAACACAAAATTTTCTTGGAGAAGGAAAAATATATGCTGTTGTTTTTCATTTTTTTTTAGTCAGCCATTGTTACCAGTTTTATTTCTCTATATCTTTTTTGTATTTTCCTCTGTCAGAATCTAGAATATGAGATTTTTTGTGATAATATGAAAAGAAAATATTTCAAACTTTGATTGATTTTTATATATATATATATACACACACACACAGTGCGATGGTTAAATTGTCTAAATTACACTAAAATGAAAATAACACTGACATCTCATTTTAACAAATACATTTTACCAAGATTATACAAAAATATCTTGAAATACTAAAGAGTAAATTTATTTAATAAAATGACCATTGGCTTCAACCATGGCCTCCAGGCGACTTTGGAATCTCCTGCAAATCTTCTGGATGGTCACCTTGTTTAAGTTAGTGAATAGTGCTGTAATCCTTGCCGTCAGTTTATCTTTGGTGTTACAAGGAGTTTTGTTGGTGTCTCTCTCTCTCTCAACTGTGCTGCCATACATAATAATCAAGGGGGTTGCAGTCTGCAGAGTTAGGTGGCCAGATTTAAGGGGTGACGTGACTGCAGAAATTGTCTAACAGTCATGACTGGGTTCTCCTGCTTGTGTGGTATGGTGCAAAGTCCTGTTGCCAGACATAGTCTTCCCTTTTGAGCCAAGGCAGTAGTACTTCCTCAAGGCACTTGATGTGGGTCTCTGTGATGAATCTGAGGCCCTCACCAACAAATTTGGGAGTTCTTTTCTGGTCAGAACAATCAGAGTGAGTTTTCCAAGCTGCTGTTTGTAACCATTAGACTCATCCAACTTTTTTCCGAATCCTCTGCACTGTCCTCAGATTAACACCCAAACACACTGAAATGTTCGTATTAGAGCTTTGAGTGTGAATACCAAGCAGTACAGCATGACATTCCCAAATTTTTGGTGGAGTGAATTGTGTCAACTGTCCCTGCTATACACTTCAGTAAACAAAATCAAAACAACATGCATGCATGAAATTAAAAATATAAAATGGCAACAATTTATCAATTGCATCCCCAGAGAGAGAGAGAGAGAGTGTGTGTGTATGTATGTATATATATATATATATATATATATATATATATATATATATATATATAATTAACTG